AAATGTCCTCGGTTCAAACCCACCAGCTATTCCATGGGAGAAAGATATGAGTCTGCTTTTGGAGACTTGTTAAACCTTGGAAATCAGTTCTTTGCTCTATAGGGTGCTTTGAGTCAGAATTGACTCAGTAGTAACAGGTTTGTTTTCAGTCTTTGTCACTCAAGTGAATAACTCTTATTCCAAATTTTATGGATATGTCATCCTGGAGAGGGTGACACCAGGGTGCTCCTTGGAGGCAAGGATTCTGAAGGTCAGTCTGACATGCTTTGGGCATGTTGTGAGGAGGGACATCATGCTTGATAGGGAAGAGGGACAGAACAAGGGAGGAAGGCCCTAAATGAGATGCATTGACTTATTGACTGGGGTAATGGGAGTAGGTGTGTCAGAGACAATAAGGTTGGCTCAGGATAGAGCAGGGTTCAGAGCTGTTGTACATATGGTCATTATGAGTTGTAGGCAATTTGAGGGTATATAACAACAACTACTAAGATTATAACTTTTGGTTTGGCAGTAACTATTTGCTTGATAACTGTAACAGCCAGCTTTGTAGGCTACCTAAACATTTTGGTCATACAAACAGTCCATTTATGTTTGGTAGGGTATGTATGAAGGCTAACGTTAAGACGGTCATGAGCACTTAGTTTCTGGAGCACCTGATTTTTAGTCCACTATGCACAAATTTCTGTGTTTGTCTCCATCAATTCTTTCCCGCCTATAAAGATAAATGAATATTCAGTTCGTTAAATACCCTCTTTTCTAATTATATTTTTTCACAGAACACAATTATGTTTAAAAACAATAGTTTCCAGTTAGAGAGCTTGGGACAAAGAGATTGTTACAAGCATAACGTAAAGAATCCCAAAGAGTTTTGTTATTTTTTTTCTGTTTAATTAAATTTTATAGAAAAAAATTTGGCTATTCTTTTTCACTTTAGCCTTCAATATGAAGTTATATTATACTTCTCAGGGTTAATTTCTTTTAAAAGAAAATAGATTGTGTCCAAAAAGTGATTGTTGTTGTTGTTGTTATGTGCCGTCGAGTCGTTTGCGACTCATAGCGACCCTATGTACAACAGCCCTAAGCTGTGCTCTATACTGTACAAATCTCATCCAAAAAGTGGTAGACTTTGGAAGAAGAAATTTTAGCTTAGAACCTCTGATTACATGCTCTAATATTTATTTGCTTGTTGATCATGTCCTTAGAAAATCATAAGTTTGGAAATGATAGGCTAACTCTTTATCAATATCTTCTCAAAACATAGGAATAAAAAGAGAGAGACTACTGTAATTTAAAAAAAAAAAGAGAGAATACTGTAATACTTTATTCATCAACACTTTCTCATTACCAAGAAAGGAGCTAAGTGTTCAATATATGCTAGTTGTTGTTGTTGTTGTTATGTGCCATCGAGTCGTTTCCGACTCATAGCGACCCTATGCACAACAGCTCTAAACCCTGCTCTAT